TGCTCTTTGTCTGACCTGTCACCTAGAACCAATCTGCCTTGGGAGATCCTACCAGGGCCAATTAAAATAGCCCCTGACAGCAGAGCTCCTGAGATCATTCAGACACACAAACTCTTCTACCAAAATAAAGTGGTGATTTAATGAAGAGTGTTGAGAGACCATGCTAGAAAATTTTCCAGATCACTGGATTAAGGCCATTTAAAGAGACTGGCATGTTTAGTGCGCACATCTCAGCTGGTGGTGAATATTCCAACAAAGACTTTTGGATAAAATTGTGCTGCTGTTGTTCGGCATATTGTTTTGCACTATTGGTGCTTAGTGTAGTCTTAGTTTAGCATATTTCTTAGTTCATATCTTAGATATTTATTATTGCTTTCTTTTACAATTTATACTTTTGTTGGATGTAACTGGGACCCTGTGTACAGAATTTTGTTCCACCTCATGTACCGCATGAGATGGGAATGACAATAAAGAACCTTGACCTTGATAAAAGATGAAATGCTTCAACAAGAAGAGTCTGTCCAGAGGACCTGACTTAACATTGTTAGATTTTTCTATCTGGATTATTGAACATGAATAAAGATATCCCAACAAAGAGTCCTCGACATAGTGGCAGCAGGACATAAGGTCGTCAGACATTTTAAACATTCGGCGCTTGATAATTTATCCATCCATCCATTATCTTTACCCGCTTATTCCATTTTGGGTCACGGGGGTCGCTGGTGCCCATGTCCAGCAATCACTGTGCGAGGGGCGGGGTACACCCTGGACGGGTCTCCAGTCCATCACAGGGCCACATAGAGACAAACGAGACAAACAACCTTTCACTCTCCCACTCACACCTAGGGACAATTTAGAGTTACCAATCAGTCTAACATGCATGTTTTTGGTCTGTGGGAGGAAACCGGAGTACCCGGAGAAAACCCACGCATGCACGGAGAGAACATGCAAACTCCACCCAGAAGGGCCCTGGACCGGGGTTTGAACCAAGGACCTGCTCGCTGAGAGGCAGCAGCTCTACCAGTTGCACCACCGTGCTGCCCGCTTGATAATTTATGACCATGAAATTCAGGCACAGCTGGATCGGCCTAAAAAATATTTTACATATGACAAAAATAATTTACACATTCCCTTGGGTCGTTATGTAATATGTTTAAACTATGAATAATGACGGGTTTTGCTTTTGCTTTAACGTGGACAAAGGTAGTTTTAATTTTGGTTAAGGATGAACTGTTGCACTTTAAAAATAGAAGACATCACTGGAAACATTATTATTATTATTCAGCCATTTAACAAATTGAAATCATTTTGAGACTCTTAACAATCCTAAACATTAACAGTTTGGTCTGATTTAATGTCACACAATGGGAGAAAATGATTGTGTGTCCTTTATACAGATGATGTAAGTATCTGGGTTCTCCTGTATGCAGATGGTACAGATTTTGTGGCTTTATAAAAGTTTATAAAACCTTCTTTTGGTATCTACCTGGATGATTGAGCATAAAACCCTTTTTCTGAACCATTTTGGCTTTGGTGTCCTCAGGCTGTTTCTGTAAGTAGCAAGTCGGCCATCTGGCCTAAAACATTTGATTGTTATACATGATGATTGATTGTTTTGGACAGATGAGTCTTTCTGCATGTGTTAAAAGCTTCTTATATTCCAACAGTAGGTTGGCTTGAAACACAGCAGTGAAGGCTACTTATGGGACACATCTGTTTGGCATACCACAGACTGATGAAGTCTTACAGGTAGAAGACGAAACGTTTCTCCCTTAAAGAAACTGGTCCAGATGAAATGATTTAACCTGTGAGAGTAGCTCTGGCTGCAGCTCCCAAGATGGCTGCTAATGAT